ACATATATATATATATATATATATATATATATATATATAGGGACCGAGACAGAGAGAGATGACGAGCTCTTAGAGCAATTTAGGGTAGATGGCTTAAGGGTAGCCCACATTGATTGAAGAAATATGGGTGACCTAGACGGCTGAGAACAAGAGACTTTTTGCCCCAATTTTTTCTTGCATATCTATGCTTTTTTAATTTTTATTTGGAGTGCGTGGTCCAACAACATGAACATGTGCATAGAATTTCAGCTCCATCAAACCAAGGAAAACACTTTTTGCAAACCCCATTTTTGTTGCTTATCTAATTTTATGGCAATATGTCATGGAATTTCAGGTCCATCAAACTCCTACTTTTAGAAGGAAAAATTGCTAACATGCACGTCTAGCGTTTGTCGCTTTGTCCTTCAATTGTGGATCATTGGGCCCATACATCAGCACTTTTTCTTAACTACTTGGGTGGGCATATAAATATTAGTTCGTCATTTTTTTCCATCAAGGATCATATCTTTAGTAAGACCATAAATCTTTGTATCTTTTCTCATTGCTTCCGACCATGTCATTTATTCATGCGTACGTGTGTAAAAACTAAAAAAGACAGACTGCCAAGATTGCATTGTTCTTTTTATCAACCCCTAGGTGCCGCACATTGTTGGAAATTACATGTAGTCATCTTAAACCAGACCTTGAATTAGCTGCAAGACTATAAAAATACTACTATCACTACTAACAGCAGTATTATTGCTGGGCATGTATCTGGTCAAGTTTTTGAGTAAACCTGTATTTATTACACAGAGGTAAATTCTCCAGTTTTGATTAATCTCATGATAGACATTATGAGTGAGCCTGGAGACTTTCTTTGAGGCTACTGCTGCATGAGTTTATTTGGTTTGAGCCTAACAGGTGCAACTGCAACAAGGGTAATTTAGTTTCGATATCAAATGTTGGTGCCAAGTGATTTTCTTGGATGGCCGTCCTCTTATTCCTATTTTCAGATCTGCATAGCTCTTTTTACGTTGCTTTAACCATTTTCCATTGTGAATTATCTTAAATATTCTATTTTCTCAGCATACACTGTACTTCCCTCCATCTGAATGAAATCCTAAAAATTAATACAATGCCGAACAATCTAAAGATTTCCTTATATTTCATGGAGCTCAATGCAATGAAGATAACATAATTCAATCCTCAAAATCAAAATTTAGCTTTTAGAGTTGGTCGAAAGAGTAGGGCATAGGTTACAAATCTTACTCTCTTCCAGGAGCTAGATCTCCCTACACTTAAATATTGCTGCCTAGCATACTTTAACACCATCCTTTGCTTCAATGTGAAAAATACATATTGTTGGAGTTGCTCATACTTTCACAATATTGTTCAGTTTTCACAGTGATTTTCTCTTGCTTTTACATTTGAAGCCAGTACTATTACCACTTGACACAGTAATCTTACCCCATAGTAGCCATTCTGTAATATTCCTCCTGCTGAATGTTTTTTTAGTAATGCTCCAATTTTGACTTCAGGTCTTTGTTGTATGGATGTTTGATTTCCCATATTAAATAGGTTCAAACTTGATTTAAAAGTAAATGCAGTTCTATTTTTCAGTTTGCCCATGTATTGTAAGTTTTTCTCTACATATCCAAGATAACGTGCTTTATTGTTTGTGGAGTGCTTAGAACCGAATTGGCCACATTTTAGTAATTTAGTTATCTCAAGTGGAAGGTTCAAAGATGCACAATCATTAACACTTCTTCTAGGCCGACAGTGGGTTAGGCAGTGCTCAGAGCCGAAGTGGCCACATTTTAGTAAAGGATTGTATACAATAAGACTATTTACCTTTGGTACAGAGAGGTCACAATTACTTACAACCATCCAATGTGAAATCTAATAGCTTGAGTGTGTCACAAAGTTTGAGAAACTTTCTTTTGAAGTTTGAACTTGGTCAATGAAATAAATACAGCCACCCAATTTTACATCCAATAGTCAAGATTAATTATGACCACATTGTACCAAAGGTAAATGGTCTCATTATATACTTTCCCTTTTAGTAATGGAAAAAGTTTATATAAGGTTGCCACCTTAAAATGTAGAATTATAGATACACCTCAAAAATGAATTGGAAAAGGTTGCTTTAGTGTTGAAAACCCCTCTAATTGATCATCTCGACAACGAGATGTATGAATATGAAAAAACAAAAAAAAAAAATTTGAATCCCAAAAATAGTGCATCTCACAACACATTATCTAGACTGTCCATTTTCAAAGATTTTTATATGTTCATAGATCTATTTGATTTTAATCATTTTTGGAGTTTAAAATTTTATAATTAGATATGAAAATAGATTTTGAGATAATCCAAAGAACTTTTTACACCAAAATTACATGTTATAATAAAATTTGGAGGTGTGCCTTAATTCGATTGTTTAAGGTTGCATCCTCATAGAAACCACAACTTTTAGTAATTTAGTTTATCTCTTGTGGAAGGTTCAGAGATGCTGAGATGACAATGGGTTGGAAGATGGTTGGTTTTCCTTTTTAACTTGTTAGTATGGCTGCCCAAAAATTTCTTTGAATGGATTCATCTGGGCATGGACTTGCTTGTTGATGGTAGCAACCGCTATAGGAACACTATATGCTCCCAATATAATTCCACTGTGATAACAACCCTCAAGATGGTTACTCCAATGGCATATATGCTTATTGCCTACAAATAATATTGGCCTCTATTATGTACCACAAAATCCGCAAAACTCAATTAAATGGAAATCTTATTTCAATCTGCATGATTTTCATGTATCAGAATATAAATCATCAATTACTATTCGAACCACCAATGGGATCTTAACAACATGTTGACCATCATGCCACATGAGACTTCCAAAAGCATATCTCCCCTGCACTCTCAAAAGAGGGCTGAATGTTACTTGAAACTTCAACTTGTTCGTTGTGGCATTGAATGACAAGCAAGATGGTTTAACAGCCACCTTCACTCCAGGAGGCGCTTGAACATGAGCAACATACACTGACAAAACTGGACCAACATTAGTAACTGTCCTTGAGATTGTCAAGCTTTTCCTAAGCTGTGGAATGGAAACAGAGGGGAGATTAAGATCAGCCATGGAACCAGATCCTTTTGGACAGACGGTAACCTGACGTGCCATTAAGCTGATAGCAGAGTTATTGTAGCCCATGAAACAGAGGAAACGAATGTGATCAGCAACACCCATGTCAAATATAAGCCCTGGATTTGCAGCCTTGTTAGGGTCGATATGACCGCCTCCATAATCAAAAGGGTCAGCCTGCTTATGTGGCGCTCCCTCTGCAATAATGTGCTGTCCATAGAGATCCCTTGTGGAGGCTTGGGTATCACCAAGATTCAAATTGACCATAAGAAAGGTAATAAATAATCAAAGAAACATTGTATACTAAGAAAAAGGAGATTACCTGTTGTGACGAGTGAAGATTTTATTGCAGCTGGGGTCCAGCTAGGATGAAGAGATCTGAGAAGAGCCACAATTCCAGATACATGAGGACAGGACATTGAGGTACCAGATTCAATGTTGTAATAAAGGGGCCCTTGTGTATCTGTTTTTACAGGAGGATTATAAGGGGACCATGCAGCTAAGATGTTTACACCAGGAGCAGCTATGTCAGGCTGCATAAGCGTTTCAGAAACAAATGAGTAAATCTCCCGAAAGAACATGCCAAAATGGAGCAACACATTCAATTTGTTCGCAATGGATCAGGGGGAAGAATAAGATCAGGTACATTAATTCCTCTTCCAGTTTGAATGCTGCAGTAACCAATTGTATCATCACAGGTAAAACCCCCCAGAATTCCAAAATTGGAAAACATTTTAAGAAGCTGAGGTACCCATGGATTTATGTTGGTTGGGGTGCCAAGTAATTTTCTGAGATTTGATTCTTTGGGCTCAGAAGGATACCTATGGAAGGAATTCTGGCCACTGGCATAATAAACGGCTCAACTGACATCGGTTAGGAGCAATTATGGAACTGCAAATTTAATGAGTGGAATTATTATATGCTGCTTTGAATGATATAACCTAGGGTGTCAGTAGATAAGATGAACAGATAAACCAAACCTCACTGATCAATATGTCCTCCAAGAATTTTTTTCTTAAGAACAAATATAGAAGGGCAGGAAATGCATGACTTGATTCTTCTCTATAACTACATTATGTGAAGATTACAACATTTGTATTATATGGTTTAAAAGGGAGAAAATTTTGAAGGAGCGCGGGAAGCTCACACGAAAAGGTCCTTGATTGGATCTGCCAGACAGGCCGAGACAGGGCCGACTCAGTTGTTTTTCACGAATAGTAGTTGAACCTACCAATACATGTAGGTTCGTAGAACTGAACCATGATTTAGAAGCCACATTCACAACACTGGATCTAGAGTTTAAAAAATTTCTAAAGAGTTGGAGCGTTTATTTCTTGGCCAATAGGGTAGATTTAGAGCATTTGCGTAGAGAGAGAAAAAATCACCTTCAAGACTGAGGGGGCCAACGAATTGGGTCCTCGTGAAGAGAAAAAAGCCACTTCTGGAGATATTGATGTTCCTAAAGCTGTCTTTGTAAAGCCAAACCTTAAAATTGGATATCTGCAAAATCAGAAGGCTCAGATTTGATTTCTAGGGGGTATTAACGGACCAATTGGTGACGAGCTTGAGGGGAAAAATTACATGGAATTTCATAAAGCTTTCATGTGCCATGCATCCAATGAATCTAAAATATTACCTTGTCTTTTGTATATATGCAAGGATAATTGTTGCAATCTGGTAATCAACTTGAACAAAAGGAAAATCTATGGAAGAAAAAACATCTTTGGTTGGAAACTGAGCAAAAATAAGCCCAACACCCTGAACTTCCTTGACAGTTTTGATGGCGACAACAGCTGACCCCTGAGATCGCGACTGAAAACAGAGGACCACCTTTCCTTTGGCTAAAGTAGCATTCAAAGAACCTTCTTCACACGTACTGCAACAAATTCTCTCTAAAATATAAAAATTCTGTGTCCCAAGGAACATCAATCAGACCGAAATGCAGAACAGCTAAAAAATTTGAAATAAAGTTCATGAACACCTTGCTTTATCAGTTTCACCACCACTCAAAGCAATGTCTTCGGAATAAACTACCCCAAGGAACTTTCCTGAAGACCTACCAGTATATAAGGCTTGACCCTGTAGGATAATCAGAACTGAGCAAAAAAATGCAAGCATACGCATGTATACATGTTTTTATCACTACAAAAAGAAATTAATGTCATGGAAGAAAGCAATGTTCCTTAATATGACAAATTATCTTTCGAGACCAGAACTACAAGTGGAATCACAAAATAGTAAGAGCAAATCAGTGAAGTATATATGCGTTTGGGAATGCATTAACACACAAATGAGAGAGAGAGAGAGAGAGACGGTGTGTGTCTGTGTGAACGAGAGAGAGAGAGAGAGACGGTGTGTGTCTGTGTGAACGAGAGAGAGAGAGAGAGAGAGAGAGAGAGAGAGAGAGAGGTGTGTGTGTGTGTGTGTGAGAGAGAGAAGAGAGAGAGAGAGAGAGAGAGAGAGAGAGAGAGGTAGTGTGTGTGTGTGTGAGAGAGAGAGAAGAGAGAGAGAGAGAGAGAGAGAGAGAGAGAGAGAGAGAGAGAGAGAGAGGAGAGGAGTAGAGTAGTACGAGTACGAAGTAGTAACGTAGTAGTAACGTAGTAACGTAACGTACGTAAGTACGTAAGTA